TGCCGCGAGTCTCTCCACGGTTGAGTGATCACAGAAAGACATTCATAAATGTCTGGCTTTTAGTGTGGGCTTATTGAGTATGTTGAAACTTGTAGGCATCCTCTTGGATTGTTGTACTGGCTTACTAATATTGCTACATTATTACAAATTATATGATAACTTCAGAGAAATGAACACAAGTATGGTATGGTATCTAACTTTTAAAGCTGATGTTGTCTAAGGTGTCCTTTTATCTCCCTGCTTCTTCCTGTGCCCTCCAATATTGCACAGTTATAAAATTATACTATTACTGAACTATATTAGATTAATAATGTACTATTTTACAACTATATGATGATTATATTCTTCAGACTGTTACTATATCAGTGTACATTATTACTGTACTGTTGCGCATTATTAATTTAGTATCATACGTTTTTGCAATTACTATCTGTAATTACTATTACAGATGATTGATTGTGTGTTCTTGTTTCTAATTGTTTCATTGTTCGTCTATGTACTATACTGATGCATTCTTTTTAATCGCAACGCTCTTTTATCGTTCTTGATAGTGATTGTGTAAAGCGGACTAGTTCTGCTTCTCGTTTCGAGTGATATCTTTTGATGGCATTTTGGTAGTTATACTATTTTTGATACCAGCATTATAAAAAATGAAGATTATTTTATGCAGTAATCCTTTTAACTGAAACGAGAAAAAGAATTCTTAAAAGCTATATAAATCATATCTTGATTTACAGAAGTGAATCATGAACAGTTGGTAGATTAGTGAAAGCTGCGGAGATGTGGTTTTATAGAAGAACGATGAGAATACCCTCGACAGATAAAAAGAGTAATGAAGACATCTTGAAAGAAACTGACTCACTAAGAGAATTTACTGCCAACATACGAAGGAGACAATCTACCTTCTTTGGTCATGTGATGAGAAGGAGAAAACTGGAGTACATCGTGACAGAGGACAATTTAGGGGAGGGGGGGGAGGGGGGCAGAGGGAGACCGAGAGAACAGATGCTGGGCAGTTGGAGATCATGGCTAAGAAGATCATCATTGTCAGAGTTGAGTAAAAGTACACGAGACACAAGGTTGTGGACAGACATGACTATCAATGCCACATGGCATGGACTCTAAGAAAAAGAAGAGGATACCAGTCAAACATCTATGTATGTTTTTATATCATGTTTAGTGAGCGACTCTAAAGAACTCTGAAAACATATTCCTGTAAGGGTGGTATATTTTGCCCCTCAGAAAGCAGTCTACCTATGAGTTTTGAACTGCTGTTCATAATTCTCTCAGACATGAGCTAGGACCTTGTGGGACCGAAAGAGTTAATTAAACTGGAGAAGAAAAACTGTCAGCATAACAGATTGTGGATAGACACGACTACCAACACCACACAGCATGGACTTTGAGCAGAAGAAGAAAATGCAATTGTTACTAGTATTCATTATTACTATACTAGTTTGTACTAGCAGGAAATATTAACTTGCCTATTAAAATTACTAATAGCAATCCAATGCCTGGGTTTCGGGGCCTTATTGTGGGGAAAAGAAGAATAGACCCATTGCCTAAACAAAAGCATTTTGTAAGAGTCGACTAACTGGGAGCTTCCTTCGAAGTCTGAGTACTTTTGCCTGAGAGGCAAAAAACCAACAGTCTGCATGCTAATGAACCACATCTGTGAAACGGATGTGCAAGCTACACTCAGGTTCTGGAACAGGACTAGAGTCCAGAAGTGGACGTTAAAGTTTACAACCGGTGAACAAGAAGAACAAGTCTAACAGCAAAAATAATGTGGTTGGCTCTGCAACTCCCGTAAAGGACACGCCAATAACTTAACCATACCATATTACATTAATACTACGATATTATTTTGCTATTGCTTCAGTGCCTTTCCCTTTCACGAAAACAATCCATGACGAGACTGACCAAGGGGCATGATATTGTATCACACACAAAAGAAATCAACATAAATAGGATAATAACTAAGTGAAATTATTAACACATATATACAAAAGCTAGTATGTACATAAGAAATATAAGGCACACCATTTGTCTTAGTGACGGAGAGATAATGTCCAGACAGACCTGTAAAGATTTGGTGTTACCAACTGGAAAGAGAAGGCCAACCAGAGAGATGATCGGAGGCGGGTGATATCTGCAGCAATGAGGTCAAAAGCTCAGAATGCTGAAAAAAGAAAGAGAAAAAGAAGTATGTCCTAGTTATAAATCTAACAGCCGGACACTTATTTAATGATAAACACTACTACTGTGCCCAACGCTCTGCACACACACGCACACACACACACACACACACACACACACACACACACACATATATATATATATATATATATATATATATATATATATATATATATATATATATGTGTGTGTGTGTGTGTGTGTGTGTGTGTATAATATTTATATATAGAATCTTTGTCCGTGTTATGTGTCGATGAAAGCTTTCCAGCCGCAACGCTTATCTGCTCTATTATGATTGTGTCTTATTGGAAAGATGACTAGTTTTGCTTCTTGTTGCGGTTCAATATTTTATGATGTCTAAATTGTATTTATAAATGTGTGGTTTAATTTATACGTACTGCCCATTTTCTTTCGGGTTACGGCCACCCGTGTCCTAGCAATGTGAGAATCTGTTTCAAATTTTAGTCTTACAGCTGATCACCATTAAACGTACTTGGTAAGTAGAAGTACATGACTATTTTAAACGAGTTCAGGCGTTTTAGGCATATAGGGCTAGGCCTATATTTTATTGACCACTTGGCACTCGGTGGGTGATGTGGTTAGCATATTGCTGGCCGGGTTAGGTTTGAGTTAGTCTACCCAAAGTAGGTCATGTTTTATTCATATATTTGTTTGAATGGTCAATTTATTTGATTCTGGGTTGTTTTTACTTACGTTTTTATTCGGAGAAACAGAATGCCTGTGACATAGGTTGCCACACTCTCCAGGGGGATTGTGTTTGATCCAGTTTGTCTATGTTTATGGAATGTTTAAAGCGCTGGCGTGCTGAAATATACAACAAGCAATATCAACGTCATTGCGGAACACCCCTGTAACCGTGTGCGAAGGCCACGGGGCTCAGGATATACCAATCAGAAATGACTAGTTGGTATATGGGCGGGGTCTGGGGAGACTAACGCCGAACTTACCATTATAAACACAGAACACAGATTTTCTTGTAACACTAGATTTTTGTAGGATAATATAAGGTTTCTCTGTTGCATCGATTGAATGTAAGCTATTTGTCTTTCCTGTGATTTCAAATGGCCGAGCGTTCCCTAACTATGGTCTTTTCTGTGTCATCTGGTTTGGTTTATTATTATTGGCAGAGACGGCAAGGCTGTTCATTAAAACATTTCGGGGATTACACTGAACTTATGGCGTCTACGTGAGACACGAAATCGTGTAATCCGTCTACTCCCCGTGTGTTCTCCGGGGTTGTATCTTCAGGAGTCGTGGGTAGGGTGGTTGGGGTGAATGAAATGACAACCGTCCCTTAACAAACGTGACTGCTGCAAGTTTTCGGCGGCAACTGGACACGGTTTACTGGCGAGCAAGCCAATTTTAGCTGTGACTACGTCGGACTGGTGATGTCTGCGCAAGACAGGAAGTCACATTACCGTCTCACAGTCGATGCAAGGCCGTCTTGCCGTCTTCGATGTCGATGACGGCCTTGGTCAGCGAATGTTTACATAACACGGAAAGGGTCCGACAAGCGCTAATAAGTTAGGATAACATTTGTTGAGGTCTGTGTTGGGGACGGTTTGTGTGGCCTGTTTATGGCTGAAATAAGGGGGGCGACAGCAGGCTGGCGTTGTCAAGAGGCTTAACTGTGTTAGCCTCAGGTCTGAAGGTTGTAAGTTCAAATTCGCACTGAGCCAGATTTAATTTTTAAAAAAAGTAAGATCTTGGCTCTCAAGTCGACCCAGTCTTAAATGGGTGCCAGATAAAATCATGGGAAGTAAAGACAGTCGGCATGATGTTGACCACATCACCGTCCAAGTGCCGATTCTTCTACAGAATGTAGTTCTAGCCCTATATACCCAATACGCCTGAAGGCGCGGGGAAGTGTCCTTTACTCGCGCCTTAAAGCCTAGAAAAGGGTCCTTTACTTTTACTTTTCAGCTAACAGGCAGAATGATGACAATACGTCAAAGATTAGCGAATGGAAAGGCACATGGGAAACAAACAAACGTTCTGATCTAAGTGTTTATCACGAGCAAAACAGCTGTACGCATCATCATGTGCTTTGCAGAACGTCGCTCTTATCACGCTGCACTGGAAAGCCACACATTTCCTGCCCAAAATGTCTGCCTCATACAATTTTAGTCCCTTAGTGTGTTTAATATCCTGTGTCCACCCTTGCTGACAATTAACCCCCATCTTTTCTTCCAGGAATCATACCCGACATCACCTCATCGCCTTTTTAGAGAAGGACACTGTATTGTATTCAGACTAAGGACTAGGTACCACAGACTTCGTCAATATATGTTAAAACTTTTCGGTTTGGGAAACACGGAGACGTGTCCCTGCAGCGTGGCACTCGAAAATGCTGAGCATGTGCTTCTCCTGTGTCAACGGTATGCTGACAACAGAGACGCAATCTAGCCTGTTCCAACCACAATGAAGACAAAACTGTATGGTGCACGAGAAGATATGGACTGTCCGATAGCTTTTATAAAGGCTACAGGCCCCCTGATATAAGTTTTCTGACAGAAGTATCGAAGAAAAAGAAGAAGATACCCAACATATATTTATATCCAAGACTTAATTAATTCCTACATAAACAAAATAAGTACCGATCAGTCTATATATTACAGATCTAGCCCTTTATGTGACCCCAATACGCCTAAAGGTCTCAAAAATGGTCCATAACTTGTTTATTATTTATGCAACCCCAGGTCATGCGCCACATCCTGAAATAATATTATGATCACTGAATTATTCAGCATTTATGATGAGCGAAAATCTGCCTGACAAGACTAGAACCAGGGAGAGAGGCTGGATGTTGGAGAATCAGTGCAGACAACTTTCAATGTGGAGACAACCTTCAGTGTGGAGACAACCTTCAGTGTGGAGACAACCTTCAGTGTGGAGACAACCGTCACTGTGGAGACAACCGTCACTGTGGAGACAACCGTCACTGTGGAGACAACCTTCACTGTGGAGACAACCTTCACTGTGGAGACAACCGTCACTGTGGAGACAACCGTCACTGTGGAGACAACCGTCACTGTGGAGACAACCTTCAGTGTGGAGACAACCTTCAGTGTGGAGACAACCGTCACTGTGGAGACAACCGTCACTGTGGAGACAACCTTCAGTGTGGAGACAACTTTCACTGTGCAGACAACCTTCACTGTGGAGACAACCTTCAATGTGGAGACAACCTTCACAGTGGAGACAACCTTCACTGTGGAGACAATCTTCTCTGTGGAGACAACCGTCACTGTGGAGACAACATAAAGTTGGCTGCATAGAGTTTATTCACGTGTTTGAGCGCGCTATTGATGTAAAAAAAAAAAAAAAAAAGAACAAGACGAATACAGAAAACCACGACACTGGACTACAATCTGGTATTAGTAAAGCCATAAAATAGGACAGAAACATGTGGATAGACATAATGACCAACGTTACATGGAATGGATTTCAAGAAGGTGGCAGTTACCAAAAGGTATGTTTGATGTTGAGTTGGTGTTTGTGACCTTTCTTGTTGCTTTTTATATTTGTTGTTGTTTGTGCTATGTGTTGTTGTTTGTGATATTTGTTGTTGTTTGTGACTTATAACGAAAAGTATGTTTCAAACTTTCAAATCTAGGCTATCCTCCAAATAACGGTCCTAAATTATAGAGACCGAAAATATACCCTAACAGGGCCTCAGTCATTGCGGACTACCGCCACCGCTGAGAGTATCTCCCGCGCCGCGAAATGGGGCTAAAATAGATGGCTGGTACTCACTAGATTTAAAAAAAAAAAAATGAAGGAAGCTGCAGAAGATGCGGTAGCTGCTGTTCGTGAGTCCCAGCCATCTATTTTAGGCCCGATATTTTAGGGAGATACTCTCGGCGGTGGCGGTAGTCGCCGGAAGTTCGTAATTTACGTGTGACTGAGGAGCTGTTAGGGTATATTTTCGGCCTGGATATCTTGAGACCGTTATTCGCAGGATAGCCCAGTCGGAAAAGCAGTGCTCTTTTACAGTACCGATTTTTTGGGTTTATGGGTTATGAACGCTGTGTCACAACTGAGACATATTTGGCTTTGGAGTCAGCTGTCATTCATTGCTATGGAGACAACCTTTAGTGTGGAGACAACCTTCAGTGTGGAGACAACCTTCACTGTGAAGACAACCTTCACTGTGGAGACAACCGTCACTGTGGAGACAACCTTCAATGTGGAGACAACCTTCACTGTGGAGACAACCGTCACTGTGAGACAACCTTCACTGTGGAGACAACTTTCATTGTGGAGACAACCGTCACTGTGGAGACAACCGTCACTGTGGAGACAACCTTCAGTGTGGAGACAACCGTCACTGTGGAGACAACCGTCACTGTGGAGACAACCTTCAGTGTGGAGACAACTTTCACTGTGCAGACAACCTTCACTGTGGAGACAACCTTCAATGTGGAGACAACCTTCACAGTGGAGACAACCTTTAGTGTGGAGACAACCTTCAGTGTGGAGACAACCTTCACTGTGAAGACAACCTTCACTGTGGAGACAACCGTCACTGTGGAGACAACCTTCAATGTGGAGACAACCTTCACTGTGGAGACAACCGTCACTGTGAGACAACCTTCACTGTGGAGACAACTTTCATTGTGGAGACAACCGTCACTGTGGAGACAACCGTCACTGTGGAGACAACCTTCAGTGTGGAGACAACCGTCACTGTGGAGACAACCGTCACTGTGGAGACAACCTTCAGTGTGGAGACAACTTTCACTGTGCAGACAACCTTCACTGTGGAGACAACCTTCAATGTGGAGACAACCTTCACAGTGGAGACAACCTTCACTGTGGAGACAATCTTCTCTGTGGAGACAACCGTCACTGTGGAGACAACATAAAGTTGGCTGCATAGAGTTTATTCACGTGTTTGAGCGCGCTATTGATGTAAAAAGAACAAGACGAATACAGAAAACCACGACACTGGACTACAATCTGGTATTAGTAAAGCCATAAAATAGGACAGAAACATGTGGATAGACATAATGACCAACGTTACATGGAATGGATTTCAAGAAGGTGGCAGTTACCAAAAGGTATGTTTGATGTTGAGTTGGTGTTTGTGACCTTTCTTGTTGCTTTTTATATTTGTTGTTGTTTGTGCTATGTGTTGTTGTTTGTGATATTTGTTGTTGTTTGTGACTTATAACGAAAAGTATGTTTCAAACTTTCAAATCTAGGCTATCCTCCAAATAACGGTCCTAAATTATAGAGACCGAAAATATACCCTAACAGGGCCTCAGTCATTGCGGACTACCGCCACCGCTGAGAGTATCTCCCGCGCCGCGAAATGGGGCTAAAATAGATGGCTGGTACTCACTAGCATTAAAAAAAAAAAAAAATGAAGGAAGCTGCAGAAGATGCGGTAGCTGCTGTTCGGGAGTCCCAGCCATCTATTTTAGGCCCGATATTTTAGGGAGATACTCTCGGCGGTGGCGGTAGTCGCCGGAAGTTCGTAATTTACGTGTGACTTAGGAGCTGTTAGGGTATATTTTCGGCCTGGATATCTTGAGACCGTTATTCGCAGGATAGCCCAGTCGGAAAAGCAGTGCTCTTTTACAGTACCGATTTTTTGGGTTTATGGGTTATGAACGCTGTGTCACAATTGAGACATATTTGGCTTTGGAGTCAGCTGTCATTCATTGCTATGGAAAAGGGGTGGGTGGGGTGCGTATTCTCGATACACGGCGTCCGCCTCCAGTGCTCGATGTCCCGAGTTCAAATGCGTTTCAGTTAGATGCTGATTATTTCTGTGTTGTGTTTTAATTTGTCATGATATGTTATTACTGAGTCGATGTTGTGTGTGCTGCTGTTTGTGCCATTTCTTGTTGCTTATGATATTTGTTGATGTTTGTGACTTATATACAAGAGTCAGTTTTAAACTTTAAAATCTCAGATAATTGTTTTCGAAAAAGCAGTGCTCCTTTGCAGTACAGATGTATGTTGTGTATGGGGTTATGAACGCTGTGTCACAAGTGGGACATATCTGACTTTGGAGTCAGCTCTCAGTTCATTGCTGGGGGTGGGGAGGGGGTGGCTGCGTATTCTCGAGACATGGCGTCCGCCTCGAGTGCTCGAGGTCCCGGCGAATACTGAGAATGTTTCACGTGGACTTCTAATAATTTCCCCTGGTCTCTGTGTAGTCAGACCGGACGCCCGTGTGTGTTGTTGTGCACATTAAAAAAAATCCCTTGGTAGTTGGAAATTAAAAAGAGAAGCCTAACAGCGCTGCCCGGACCAAATTTTGAGTTAAAAATCTACCCAAAGTATTTCAGGATCCTCGACGATGCTACGGAGTTCGTATACTTGCTGAGATTCTTCAGACTCAGGCTTGAGTCAGACGTAGAAAAGAGCACTTATAGGTTACTACCCTTGTGCCATGATGTTGATCCGTCGTCTAAACCTAAACTTATTTCATTGTTCGTTTTAAAGATCCTTCTCATGGCACACCGAACATGCACATAAGTGCTCCGATCTTCCCCTGAGGATGTCTCCAAGTATTTTTAGGCTAACAACTCCATTGTGTTCTGGCTGATGTAACGATGATTCGCTCCTGCATGATGGACCTTTCTTTGTTTTTTCGACTGTCACATTTACCGCACCGGCGTGCGCTTGCTTTCCTTTGTCTGGGGTCATCCACCATTAACAAACACGGTTAAACTGGTCTGGTAGTCTGGTAATCTTAGTTTCAGCTTCATAGCAAACGGGTCACCGCATCTTTGCTCCGCTCCTGTGCCAACGAAAAACACACAGCATGTTTATCACAGCATTAGAAATGTAGTTTATCATTGATGGTAGCAGAAGTCGCCAACAGATCAGCAGTTGCCCACGCGATGAATTTTAATCACATACGGGCACCATCAACACTGCACGACAGGAATCGCGCCATTTACACACACACACACACACACACACGGTTAAACACTTTGGCGCTTACACCTAAGAATCTCGGTGCAGTGCACGGAGCTCTGTAACATCGGCGAAGATCCTGCAAACAGGAAAATTACAAAATCACTTCTTGTTTTTAAGATACACCAACAGAATCAATTTGTTGTGGTAAGCGACAGTAGCCACGCCTCCATCTTGCGTGACGTCCTCGTTTACGGTCAGTGACAAAGTACATGCCATTGTGAACGTAACCGGCACCGCCATTTTAATACAGTCAGCACACGGGGGAGGGGGAGGAAAGGGGGTGGGGGTATTATAGGGACAACAAGAATAGACCCACTGTCTACCTAAAAGCATGTCGTAAGAGTGGACTAATTGAGAGGTTCCTTGGAAGTCAGACTGCATCTGCCTGAGAGGCAACAGTCTGCACACAAATGTGTCAGATCTGTTAAACGGATGCATACGAAACACTCACGTTCTGGAACAGGACTAACAACCAGTTCTTTCCTCTAGGGTATACAGATAATGAACGCAAACAAGAAACGACAACAACTTGTACTAGTTGTTTAGTGACCTAAGATAATTGTGATACATTGTTATATGACTGAACTTTGTTTCCGGGTTTTGTTGCTGTTTGATTCTCTCCCTTGAGATGTCTTAATAAAATTTATAACAGTTATAGTGCCTGATAAAATAACATAAAAACAAACATAACTATTGAGCTTCATAATAAAACACAACCGCCAAAGACATAATGAAACATTTCCGTCTAGAAAGCTTTTATCAGCCCACAAAAACACCAACAGTGATAGCACAAATTACAAGGAATCTTACGGTAGGAAACACGTAACGTAAGTCTCCCCAGGCCCGCCCATATATACACTAGCTCACTTCTCATTGGTAGTTTCCAAACCCCGTGACCTTCGCACAAGGTCAGAGGGGTGTTCCGCTATGCCGTTGATACTGTGTGTTGCATATTCCAGCAAGCTGGCACTTTTGACACTTAAAAAACATGGAGAAACTAGTCCTAACACAACTCCCCAGAGATTACTGCAACATATGTCACAGGCATTCTCTTTCTCGGAATGAAAACGTAAATGCAAGACATCACAAAAAGCAAACAGAGCGGGACACACCCGTAACCTGCAGGAAAGTCGATCAGCCCAGCAAACTTGTGAATGAAAAGTTACCTACTCTATTTGGGGGAGATTAACGGGAACGTAACTGTCGCCTGATTTGCCGTAATAAAGAGGCATGATTGTTAGGTAAAACTCACAACCCGTGACCACACCTTTTGTACTTGGACGGTCAGCCTTGGACTAGTTTGTGGGATTATCCTATAACACTAATATTGGGCCAGATTCAAGGTCCGTGCGTCCGTCTGTTTCTTCTCTATGGGCTCAGGTCCATTGACAGACATCTTCTTTATTGGTGTCCCTCTACCCATTTTCCACTCCAACTTCCCAGTTGTCACTATGCATTCAAGTTCTCCCCTTCCGTCAATCTGGCCGAACGGTTACAACGTCGGGCTCTCATGCGGCAGACCCAAGTCCGGCCTCCAGTAAGGGAATGGGGTTTTTCGGTGGTGTGCAAAATTAAACATCCTAACCCGCATTGTCCATGGCCACAGCGCTAGCCAGACGGCCCTGAATCCTCAGGCTGAAGGCGCCCTGTCTACACCGCCCATGAAAGTGTAACACGGAGACTAGTGACGGCTTTGACAGTTTGACAGTCAATATCACCAAAGAATACCGAGTCCTCTTCTGGTACGGACAGTGGTACTACATCTAGCTTGTCTTACATATGGGCACAATCAATTGTGCAGAACTAGCCCATCTGTCTGACTATTAATGTCCCAACACTTCTACATACACAGGAGAAAATATCAAAAGAATGCTAACTGTCCTGGACCGTTGTAGCACAAAATATCATTGTCCAAAAACACAGCATGTTTTTAAGTCATCTATCATTCTTTGTTGACTGGCGCGTCAAATTTTGAATCCAGATATTTCTTGACCGCCCTTTTTACCTGTACCTATCACTGTAGTATCTTTTTGTCGAGGCAGGCAGATCTTATTATAGGTCCCTAATGTTGCGTTTCCCCTTCTTAACATTACTTTTCCCGTCATTAGCATTGCATTTCCCCTCCTTAACATTGCGTTTCCCGTCATTAAAGTTGCGTTCCACCTCCTTAACATTACGTTTCCTGTCATTAACATTGCGTTTCCCGTCATTAGCATTGTATTTCCCCTCCTTAACACTGCGTCATGAACATTGCGTTTTCCCTTCTTAACATTGCGTTTCTCGTCATTAAAGTTGCGTTCCGCCTCCTTAACATTACGTTTTCTGTCATTAACATTACGTTTCCTGTCATTAACATTGCGTTTCCCGTCATTAGCATTGAATTTCCCCTCCTTAACATTGCGTTTTCTGTGTTTGTACTTTAAAAAAAACATACATTCATTGTTGCCAGTGTAAAAAAGAAGGGGGCGGAGTAGGGGTGGGGTGGGGGGGGGGGGGAGAGACCGAGCCCACCTGAATATTTTTTGGCGGAAAGGGGGGGGGAGAGGGAGGAGAGGGGTCTTTCAAGTGGTCTCTCCGACATTTCTGTAAAAAGTTGGTGGTGTTGTTGCTGCTGCTGCTGTTGTTGTTGGTGTTGTTGTTGTTGTTGTTGTGGCACTGGTGCCTCGTGTAGCCATGTACGGCTACACCTACCTTTAAAGCTCTACCCTGCGTTTGAAAAAATAAAAGCCACAAAACCCCACAAGATTTGGCTTGCCATAGCTGACGTTGACTTTGCTGGGATTATTTTGAACATGTTTAACTACATGACTTGAATTTTCCCTTTATTTCTGTTGAATATTATCTTAGTAGCTTTTAGCACCAGAATATCTTTGACAAAGAATAGGAGAAATACTGACATCTAGAAAGATCTGAACATCAAGAAAGATTTTCTAATAAACAGCATCCTTTCTCGGAAGCTGAAATATTTTGGTCATATCAAGCGCCACGACGGACTGGAAACAAATTATAGCAGAAGGCATGGTACCAGGAGAAAGGGGCAGGGGTCGACTGACACAAAGATGGACACAGGATGTAAGTCCTCATGAAAGTGCATGAGGCGGGAGAGCTGGCGAGAGACCGAGTTTCTTTCAGGTGGACCGTGATGAGAGCGACGTTCTGCAGGACCTACTACATGACGATGGTTGTTAGCATCCAGGTTATATTATGATAACATTAGCGAGATGCAATAACTTCTCGTCTTCCAAAATGTGAACCAACGTGACTGAAACCCTGTTCCGAACGCGTATCTTGGCTTTATGTTATCATCAAGTGCCTTGCTCACTGGCATAGGCGATCATGCCTCTCCACAGTTTAGGATCCTAAACAGCATGTATGAGTTAGTGTGCTGCCATACCTCCACGCAATGACAAAAAGCAGTCAAGAATCGTCTTGCTTTGTTTTTCTCTGTTTCTTTTCCACAAATCTGTCCAGTTGTCACAACGTGTTGTAGTTTCCTTCCTCGCATAACATGACTAACACACGATTACTGTCTTTTTTTTTGTGTGGATAAAGTCTGCGAGATCTCGTTTCTTTCAAGCATCTGGGATGCTTCATTTATTTTGCTTTATTTTACTTGTTGTTACGGGAGTGGCAGTGCCGTAGCGACTAGACGCCCGCCTGCGGACCATAAGGTCATGTGTTCAAGTCCAGATCATTGGATTAAGAAAAAAGTCATCGGATCCAAGGTCAGACCAGCATAGAATATGTACCAGGTAAAGTCACTGGAAGCAAAGGTGGCCGGTGCTATGTTGACCGAATTGCATAGAGTACCGACTCTTCTATGAAATATAATGTTGAGAAGTAGATATCCAGTACACCGTATACTCAAGGCGGGCATGGGAGGTTGTCATTTACTTAGGGGAGCGCAGGGTCTTGCCGTATATTCAAGGGAGCGTGCAGGTCTTGCCATATACTCAAAAGGGGTGGGGGGGGGGGGCTAAGAGGTCTTGCCATATACTTAAGGGGCGCAGGGTCGCGTTAGCGCAGTCGATAGGCGACTCGCTTTCAAATCCAGCTGTGACTCGCTGCAGCCCATGGCCAGCGTTCGAAACCGGACGCTTCCCGGGGTTCATCCAGCCTCTAGGAGATGGGTACAAGAGTTAACAACACTCTGGGGTAAATGAAGGAACGTCGCTGTAGCTACTGAGTTTCGTGCGGACGGCGACACAATCGGTGGCAGGGCATTAATGGTTTAGAACTGTTAGCAATGACGCTGGTACAAATCTCAGGACTGTACCTTTTTACCTTTTACTTAAGGGACGCTTAAGGGTCTTGCCATATCCTCAAGGGAGGCTTAGGGGTCTTGCCATATCCTCAAGGGAGGCTTAGGGGTCTTGCCATATCCTCAAGGGAGGCTTAGGGGTCTTGCCATATACTCAAGGGAGACTTAGGGGTCTTGCCATGTACTCGAGGGAGGCTTAGGGGTCTTGCCATATCCTCAAGGGAGACTTAGGGGTCTTGCCATGTACTCGAGGGAGGCTTAGGGGTCTTGCCATGTACTCGAGGGAGGCTTAGGGGTCTTGCCATATCCTCAAGGGAGACTTAGGGGTCTTGCCATATCCTCAAGGGAGGCTTAGGGGTCTTGTCATATCCTCAAGGGAGGCTTAGGGGTCTTGTCATATCCTCAAGGGAGGCTTAGGGGTCTTGTCATATCCTCAAGGGAGGCTTAGGGGTCTTGCCATATACTCAAGGGAGGCTTAGGGGTCTTGTCATATACTCAAGGGAGACTTAGGGGTCTTGTCATATACTCAAGGGAGGCTTAGGGGTTTTTGCTGGTACATAATTTTCTTTAAAATAGCCGGTAAAGAATTTTCTTTCTTGAGCCGTACAGCTTTTTGTTTTAAGCCGGTACAGAATTTTCTTTTTTGAGCCGGTACAGAATTTTCTTTTTTGAGCCGGTACAGAATTGTATTTTTTTAATCAGGAACAGAATTTGCTTTTTTTTCAGCCGGTACAGAATTGTCTTTCTTGAGCCGGTACAGAATTTTCTTTCTTGAGCCTGTACATAATTTTATTTCTTCATCCGATACTGAATTTTCTTTCTTAAGCCGGTACAAAACTACTGTATGTGTTAAGTTTTGCCAGGCCAGAAGGGAAATAATTAACCTGACAATGACATAAAAGGTTGTAGTCCTTTTATTTTCAGTGAGTGTCGTACACGAATATACTGTTTCTTGAAGTCAACCGTACAGACGCATGTATGTAAGTTGTACCCCACCAGGACATCGCACAAGCGATGAACACTCGGTGATACAAAGTGCCACCGTGTGGATGAGGATCACCCCTGGAGAGATTCCGGAAACCCTGTTTAGCCGTTAGGCAATATTTATGGCCCAGCTATATTTAGGGCCCCCGTCAAAAGCCAGGGTGGGGCTTATAAATAACTACAAATTGCATCCCACACGGGCTGATGATATGTACCAAGAGAGGAGCCTTTCGGTTGTTTTTGAACATGATTTATTTGCACGATGATTCACTTTAGCTCATGTTTACATATTAGAAGTAAACCTGAGTATCTTTATATAAGTCCATGCTTTGTTGGTCCATACTAACTTTTTTTTTTTTTTTGCTCGTTAGGAGTAAGCACAAAATCCTTTACATAATTCTACAACATGCTGACCTATTTAAACCTACTTCCTATTCAGAAACTAAAACCGAAACCGTTACACAGTTCAACGAGGCCACAGTATAGTTTAAACTGTAATTCTTTCATATAAAGAAACACGGAAAGCTTGACATAATTCACGCTGGCCCATAGTAACCCGTGTTTGCTCATTAAAATATAAACAGACGAAAACTATAGGATCGTTACTGCGGCCTATGAAAATCCATTGCGGTGGATCAGATCCCTGTAGAAGGCAACCGATGCTTTGGGAATTCGTGTTTTTTGCGGGCTGTTGAAATCCACATGGTAGAAACCGAACTTGAGGCTATAACCAACTGACCACTCGAGGTTGTCCATCAGAGTCCAAGCGGTATAAGCTCGCACATTGACGCCATCAAGTCTTATGGCTGGACAAAAATATAGAAATATGTCATTCTCTTTGCGTATGCAATTATAACAAAACTAATAGGTTATATAGAGTCCCAGTGGCGTTGCAGCTAGACGCTCGCACCCACACTCAAAAGTTTAGGTTCGAATCCGCAACATTCAAGGTGGTCTTGACGGTTAAATCGACCGAGACTAAAATGGGTACCAAGTAAAGAAATCGGAAGTAAAGACTTGTTAACCACATCATTCAAGTTCTTTTTTTTTTTTTTTTTTATCTTTTAACCCTTCGGGTGTCAAGAGAGGTATTCAGTTCTGCTTCTTTCTCTTCTGGCTGCCTCTACAATAGACACATAGTGCAGCTGTAGAGTGTCTCCAATGTTATCTTTCCATCTTGTTCTTGGTCTACCTTGTGTCCTTCTTTCTTCTCCTTGTGTGTGTGTGTGTGTGCGTGTGTGCGCGTGTGTGTGTGTGTGCGCGCGCGCGTGTGTGCGCGTGTGTATGCCTTGTATGGTGTGGCGTCAAACAGCATTCTTTCTAATTGGGCAAACCATTTGATTTGCTAAATTTTTTTGTAATTTAGAACTGGTTCTGCGCCCACTTGATTTTTTTTTTAATGATCTCATTCCTAAATGTATCTTTTCTGGCCACTTCTGTAGTCTTTTTTCAGACATCTAATTTCTATGGCTACTAATTTTCTTTCCTGTTTTGTTGCGAATGACTGTCTGGTACTGGTAGCATAGAGTATGGATGAATCTGATTTGTTTGAGATGTGGTTTTATAGACGCATGATGAGAACACCATGGACAGATAAAAAGAGTGTTGAAGATGCCTTGAAAGAAACTTATTCATTAAGAGGACTGACTTCCCAAAGCAGAAGGAGACAATCAACGTGTTTTTGTCATGTTATGAGAAGGAGAAAACTAGAGTCTATCCTGATGGTGAGAAAATATTGCGTGAACACCGAACGAAGTCATGTCATAACTCCCCTAGAATATTGGACTTTCCCGGGAATTCCCGGATTTCCTTTGGGGTGAGTTTTAAAAAAAAGGAACCACATTTTCCATGGATAAGTCAAAAAGAGAAGCAAATAAAATCTAGCCAACCAAGATGAGGGGAGGCTCTTCAAATAGAAGAAGTATGACACGGTGTGGAGAAAGCCGTAAGGAGTCCGGATCGTTGACTTACCTCCTCTCAGCTAGGAAAACCTCCAGAATTGGCACCTGGAATGTTAGAACTCTCTATGATATAGGGAGAACAATGGAAGTAGCAAAGGAAATGATACATTATAGAATTAGTATTTTGGGGTTATGTGAAACTAGATGGACTGGGACAGGGAAAAGTATTCTTTATTCAGGAGAAACTATTTTGTTCTCAGGACACACAGAGGAAAATTCGCCGCACAGTGAAGGAATGGCCCTGATGCTATCAAAAAAAGCAGACAGGGCACTAAAAGAATGGGAAGCTGTGAGTCCCAGAATAATAAGAGCATCTTTTAGAACAGTAAAACAGAAGGTGAACATGTCGGTAATAGAGTGTTATGCACCAACAAATGATAAAGATGCATCTGTTAAGGAAGAATTTTACATGCAGCTTCAAAATATTATAAATAATGAAAGAAAGGGCAACTTAAAAATTGTGATGGGTGACTTGAATGCTAAGATAGGATCAGACAACACAGGTTATGAAGAAATTATGGGGAGACATGGTCTAGGAGTAATGAATGAAAATGGAGAATTGTTCACAACATTTTTTGCAGGTAACCAGTATGTTATTGGTGGAAGTATTTTTCCCCATAAAAGAATACACAAGGCAACATGGGAATCACCAGACCATAAGACAACTAATCAAATTGACCACATATGTATTAACAAAAAGTTTAGATCATCCCATTACGATGTTAGGGCTTTTAGAGGTGCCGATGTATTTACTGACCATTTCCTGGTGATAAGTACAATCAAGTCGAAACTAAAATGATATATAACATCTTATAATCATAGAAACCAATATAATGTAGGCTTTCTCAGAGATAAAGAAATTAAGGAACAGTTCTCAGTTACGGTCTCTAATAAGTACCAGGTGTTGCAGCAGTTAGCTGAAGATGTCAACACTGAAGTCTGCTGGGATCAGATCAAAGGAGTCTGGAATGAATCTTGCGTAGAAGTTCTTGGCAAGAAAGAAAGGAAACATAAAGCATGGATAACACCAGAAACCATTAAACTGATTGAAGATAGGAAAAGTAAAAAGGCAGAATTAAACAATAGCAAAACTAGAGCTGCTAAAGCTAGAGCTCAGGAGAATTACACAGAAGCCAACAAGGAAGTTAGGAGGCATATAAGGGCAGATAAAGTGAAATATCTAAATGATCTAGCACAAGAAGCGGAGACAGCAGCAGCAAAAGGAAACCTCAGAGAACTTTACAGTAACACAAGAAAATTAGTAGGTAAATATAGTCAGCCAACTGGATCAATCAAAAATAGTCAAGAAAGGTACTTACTAACACTAAAGATCAAATGGACAGATGGGTTGAATATTTTGAAATGCTTCTAAATAGACCAGGCCCAGAGGTTCCCCCAGATATGCAGCCTTTAGAAATGGAACTGGATATCAACTGTGAGATACCATCCAAAAAGGAAATAAGAAAAGCTATAAATCTTCTTAAGGAAGGAAAGGCGTCAGGCCCAGATGGTATCCCAGCTGAAGCCATCAGGACCAACATAAACACATCAACAGAATTGCTACATAGATTATTCAGTAAAGTCTGGAAGACCGAAGAAATACCAGCAGACTGGAGAGAAGGATATCTTGTGAAACTGCCCAAAAAAGGTGATCTACAGGAGTGTGAAAACCATAGAGGAATTATGTTGCTGTCAATTCCTGGAAAAATATTAAGTAGAATTATTTTGGAAAGATTAAAAGATGCTATTGATAAAATGCTAAGAGATGAGCAGGCAGGTTTTCGGTCAAACAGATCCTGTACTGATTAGATAGTCACATTACGTATTATAATAGAGCAAAGCATTGAACTGAACTCACCACTTTACATTAGATTTATAGACTATGAAAAAGCATTTGACAGCATTGATAGGGAATCTCTCTGGAAATTGATGGGGCACTATGGGATCCCACAGAAAATTATCAACTTAGTAAATGCAACATATAAAGACATGAAATGTCGAGTTCTTCATGAGGGAAAGCTAACAGATGCATTTGAAATAAAAACAGGTGTGCGACAGGGATGTCTTTTGTCGCCTCTCTTATTTTTACTGGCTATAGACTGGACTATGAAAACAGTAACTGCTAACACCAAGAATGGAATTCAGTGGACCCCTACAAAACAGCTTGATGATCTGGACTTCGCTGATGATATTGCCCTTCTGTCCCATTCACGGAATCAGATACAAGATAAATTAAATATACTTAATGCGAGATCACAGCAGCTTGGTCTGAAAATCCATAAAGGAAAGACAAAGATAATGAGAATAAATCAGGCAAATAGTAATGTGGTTTCTCTTAATGGCACCCCACTCCAAGACGTGGAGTCGTACACCTATTTAGGCAGTAATGTAGATAAAGATGGAGGAACTGATAGAGATATTAAAATAACAATACAAAAGGCAAGAGGGGCTTTCATAGCACTAGGGAATTTGTGGAGGTCAAAAGTAATTAAAAGAAATACAGAACTAAAAATTTTTAATTCTAATGTCAAATCAGTACTATTGTATGGGGCGGAAACATGGAGAACAACCAAGGCAATTACTAATAAATTACAGACATTCATTAACTGGTGCCTGCGCAGAATAGAGGGAATAAAATGGTATGATAGAATAACTAATGTAGAACTTTGGGAGAGAACTAAACAGGCTCCAGTGGATCAGGAGGTGAGGAAAAGACGCTGGTGTTGGATAGGGCACACTCTGAGAAAACAGGAGAACAGCATAACTAGAATGTCTTTGCATTGGAACCCACAGGGGCATAGGAATAAATGAAGGCCAAAAAAAAAACACATGGAGAAGAGAGCTGGAGAATGAGGTTAGAAAGATTGGGAGGACATGTGGAGAGCTCCATGTAATGGCGAATGATAGAACGACTTGGCGTGAGTTGGTTGAGGGCCTATGCTCCATTGGGGGATAGAAAGGCAGTAGAAGACCGAACGAAGGTCATGTCATAACTCCCCTAGAATATTGGACTTTCCCGGGAATTCCGTGATTTCCTTTGGGGTGAGTTTAAAAAAAAAAGGAACCACATTTTCTAAATGTCTCTAGAGAATGTTACCACCCACACAATAATGAACAGGGTCACGAAAAACCAGCATTACAAAAAAGGTTGAAACAAAACCACGAAGACCCGAAGGCGGAACAATGATTGCACAGCGAGGAAAGGACAATGAATAGACCAACAAGACGGGACGATTGTCTCACAGTAAAGGGAGAACCAAGGATACTGGAGACTTATAGAGAGGCTAATCTTAACAACTGCCGATGAAAGTTCGTAACAACTCCCAAGATTTACACCTGCCGGTGATAAAAGTTACATAAAAACCCTCTTTAAAACACTCAAGATTTACTACTGTGGGTGGATGTTACATAAAAACACTCAAGATTTACTACTGTGGGTGGATGTTACATAAAAACACTCAAGATTTACTACTGTGGGTGGATGTTACATAAAAACACTCAAGATTTACTACTGTGGGTGGATGTTACATAAAAACACTCAAGATTTACTACTGTGGGTGGATGTTACATAAAAACACTCAAGATTTACTACTGTGGGTGGATGTTACATAAAAACACTCAAGATTTAGACAAGCTCATGAAAGTTGGATAGAAACACTAAAGATTTACATCTGTCGACTCCGCGTACAAAGAAGTGGCCCTGCTGATGCAGGCCAAAACAGAGGCAGAAGCCGCAAATCTTGCAGCTAAGAGAGAAGGAGAATCTCTTCAAAAAGAAAGAAGCAGAAAACCAGCCGAGAAACCAAGCATCGGCAACCGACAAATGTACAGCTACCGAAATGAATGTCATGACTCATAAGGCACAAGGAACGAAACTAGCCAGAACCACTGACCTAAGCACTGAAACCACAGACATGTACTAGAAAAGCAAAGAACCAGAAGAAATAAAACAAGAAAGCCAAGAAACAAAGAAGATTACGAGGTCAGGGAAGCTAAAGCCGACGTTCAATAGTTATTCCGACGACTGGACGAATTGACTTCTCCCGTTAGAACTGGGTAGACGGAGGAAGACGGCTGGCAGACAATTGACCCAGAAAACAGCTTAACAACAAGAACACTAAATCAACAAGAGCTGGAGAAACGCTACGCTGGAGCGGACCTCAAAATGCAGCTTTTCGACGAACGGATGGACGTCCACCAACACAGGCGCGAAAAAAAGGCACGCAAACGGGACAAAACACCGACCAGCAGCAAAAAAAAAAAAAAAAAAAAGAGCCAAAACGCCACCTGCGCCACAACAATCACTAGAGCCAACAGAGACGCCCCATGCAAAAAGCGCCAGTGCTAGACCCACAGGAAACCCCTCCCATTCCTTTCCAGGCCGCCCTAGGCAAACGTGTAGTCCTTATCAGGACTAGCAGACTCTCCTCCCAAACAGCAGGGGGGAAAAAGCCTTATTAAAAGCCGCCAAAGCCAGACCACGTCAGTCGTGTTGCAGCAAATGACCAGCTTAGATGAAATTGATCGCCTCACAGAATCAGAATTCAAACTAAGATATCAAAGAAACCATCATTAATATAGCAGGCCCTCTAGCGGTTCAAAGAGAGTGCTAAGCTTCCCGATATAAGTTACACATAAACCCTAAAGATATACACGTCCTGATAAAAGTTACATAATAACACTCAAGATTTGGCTATCCTCTGAAAAACGATACCATATTATCGATGAAGATAATATACCCTAACAGGACCTTAGTCGAAAAGTAAATTGCGAACTTCCGGAGACTACCGCCACCGCTGAGAGTATCTCCCGCGCCGCTACCCGTGGCAAATTAAATGAAGAAAGCTGCAGGAGATGCTGTAGCTGCTGCTGTGAGTCCCAGCCATCTAGTTTAGCCCCGCTCCGTGCCTCGCTTAGCGGCGCGGGAGATACTCTCGGCGGTGTCGGTAGTCGCCGGAAGTTCGCAATTTAAGTCGCCGGAAATCCGCAATTTACATGTGACTGAGACCCTGTTTAGGTATATTTTCGGCTTCGATAATTTGAGACAGTTATTCAGAGGATAGCCCAAGATTTACTGTACCTTTAAGGACCTCGTTGATGTAGTAATAGTGATATTGTATTCGCTCCGTGTCGTTAAGGCCGGTGCCTGTGTGGCGACCGTTCTCTGCAATGAATATGACCGGATTTCTGTAGCGCTTTTGGGCCCAGACCAACGCAGACCGGATACCCCAAGGATTTACTGACAGCCAGTACGCCTGTGTGCTGGGGAAGATACGTAATTGTAATGGCTACAGCTACTATGACTACTGCTAGTCAACCTACGAAGCAGTTATTCAAGGTTAGTTGCGTATCCTTTACAGGACGTTGCAGAACCAACCCCAGCAGCCCCCTGGCTTTTGTGTGGTTTCTCTAGGCAAATTTACGTCCTGTAGTTCGAAGCAGTATTCACGTTCATGGTTGTAACGCAATGGCAAACTACTGAACGCAACATTTACCTGAAAAAACCCACAAAAGCCAAACAAATTTTGGTGTTGGTTCTGCAACGTCCTGTAAAGGATACGCAATTACCAATGTACATGAAACGGGACCATTTAGCACTTAAGCAATTTTTTTTTATTATTTTAGTTAGGTGCGTGTGGGAAAAGAAGGGGGAGTGTCGGAGGGTTTGGGGGCGGGGGGTTCTTAACATTATTCGGAACCGGGTGGGAAAAGGGGGGAACTCAGTGTATCTGAACCTACAGGTTCTGAGAGACCTGATGAGTTTAACACGTTCTGTGCCAACCAACTCACCACGCGTTTCTTGATAATTCCGAAGATAACGAAATGTTCTTGATTTTTGTGTGTGTAAATCACAGACATATTTAACACTAACTATCTGTGTCTAAACTTTTAGTTTTACTACATCTGCCCACTGTGTCTCTTAAGGCCTACATATTTTTTTTCTCCATTTTCTTCATCTTCTTCGCGTTCACCGGCTGAAAACATCGGTTTCACCATTTCTGGACTTGAGTGTTGTTCCAGAACCTGAGTGTTGCGTGCACAGCCGTTTAAAAGATCTGACTTAATTACATGCGGACTGTTGGTTCTTTACCTCACAGACAGATGCACTGACTTCGACGAAGCTCCCACAGTCCACTCTTACACATGCTTGTTTGGGAGGCAGTGGGTCTATTCTTGTTTTACCCGTATTGGGGCCCCGGGGCCCAAATAGGACTTCGGAATCCACACTAGAGCCCTGGAATCCACGATGGGGCCCTGGAATCCACAACGGGACCCAAGAACACACATAAGGAATACACACACACGCACACACACACACATACACACACACATATATATATATATATATATATATTATACAGTATAATATATATATATATATATATATATATATATATATATATATATATATTATACAGTAATAACAGCTTGGGACTGAAAGAGTTAACCTTTTGACTATATGAAGATTTAAAAACTTGGTTCTTTGTCTCTGAATAGTTAAATCTCTCTCTCTGTCTCTTTGAATAGTTAAGAGTCTTTCTGACTGTATGGAGAATTAAAACTCTTTCTGTCTGTCTAAAGAGTTTAAAGCTCTGTCTGTCTGTCTGAAGAGTTAAACACTCTTTATGTCTGTCTGAACAGTTGAAACCCACTCTTTGTGTCAGGTTTTTTTCCTCCTGTTGTTGATAAAATATGACTGGTGTGTGAAAGGTGGGTGTCTTAAAGGACCGCATGTAATAGGGCCTTCGTGCACAATTTGTAACCCTTTGAAAATAAAGTTTATTCGTTCGTTCCTTCTTTCTGTCTGTGTGAAGAGTTGAAACTCTTTTTGTCTGTGTGAAGAGTTGAAACTCTTTCTGTCCGTGTGAAGAGTTGAAACTCTTTCTATCTGTCCGAAGAGTTGAAACTCTTTCTGTCTGTCCGAAGAGTTGAAACTCTTTCTGTCTGTCCGAAGAGTTGAAACTCTTTCTGTCTGTCCGAAGAGTTGAAACTCTGTCTGTCTGTCCGAAGAGTTGAAACTCTTTCTGTCTGTCCGAAGAGTTGAAACTCTTTCTGTCTGTCCGAAGAGTTGATACTCTTTCTGTCTGTCCGAAGAGTTGAAACTCTTTCTGTCTGTCCGAAGAGTTGAAACTCTTTCTGTCTGTCCGAAGAGTTGAAACTCTTTCTGTCTGTCCGAAGAGTTGAAACTCTTTCTGTCTGTCCGAAGAGTTGAAACACTTTCTGTCTGTCCGAAGAGTTGAAACTCTTTCTGTCTGTCCGAAGAGCTGAAACACTTTCTGTCTGTCCAAAGAGCTGAAAGCCTTTCTGTCTGTCCGAAGAGCTGAAAGCCTTTCTGTTTGTCCGAAGAGCTGAAAGCCTTTCTGTCTGTCCGTAGAGCTGAAAGCCTTTCTGTCTGTCCGAAGAGCTGAAACTCTTTCTGTCTGTCCGAAGAGCTGAAACTCTTTCTGTCTGTCCGAAGAGCTGAAAGCCTTTCTGTTTGTCCGAAGAGCTGAAAGCCTTTCTGTCTGTCCGAAGAGCTGAAAGCCTTTCTGTCTGTCTGAAGAGCTGAAAGCCTTTCTGTCTGTCCGAAGAGCTGAAAGCCTTTCTGTCTGTCCGAAAAGCTGAAAGCCTTTCTGTCTGTCCGAAGAGCTGAAACACTTTCTGTCTGTCCGAAGAGCTGAAAGCCTTTCTGTCTGTCCGAAGAGCTGAAAGCCTTTCTGTCTGTCCGAAGAGCTGAAAGCCTTTCTGTCTGTTCGAAGAGCTGAAAGCCTTTCTGTCTGTCCGAAGAGCTGAAAGCCTTTCTGTCTGTCAGAAGAGCTGAAAGCCTTTCTGTCTGTCAGAAGAGCTGAAAGCCTTTCTGTCTGTCCGAAGAGCTGAAAGCCTTTCTGTCTGTCCGAAGAGCTGAAAGCCTTTCTGTCTGTCCGAAGAGCTGAAAGCCTTTCTGTCTGTCCGAAGAGCTGAAAGCCTTTCTGTCTGTCCGAACAGCTGAAAGCCTTTCTGTCTGTCCGAAAAGCTGAAAGCCTTTCTGACTGTCCGAAAAGCTGAAAGCTTTTCTGTCTGTCCGAAAAGTTGAAAGCCTTTCTGTCTGTCCGAAAAGCTGAAAGCCTTTCTGTCTGTCCGAAAAGCTGAAAGCCTTTCTGTCTGTCCGAAAAGCTGAAAGCCTTTTTGTCTGTCCGAAAAGCTGAAAGCCTTTCTGTCTGTCCGAAAAGCTGAAAGCCTTTCTGTCTGTCCAAAGAGCTGAAAGCCTTTCTGTCTGTCCAAAAAGCTGAAAGCCTTTCTGTCTCTCCGAAAAGTTGAAAGCCTTTCTGTCTGTCCGAAAAGTTGAAAGCCTTTCCCTCTGTCCGAAAAGTTGAAATTTTTTCCCTCTGTCCGAAAAGTTGAAATTTTTTCTGTCTGTCCGAAAAGTTTAAATTTTTTCTGTCTGTCCGAAAAGTTGAAATTGTTTCTGTCTGTCCGAAAAGTTAAAAGCCTTTCCGTCTGTCCGAAAAGTTGAAATTTTTTCCCTCTGTCCGAAAAGTTGAAATTTTTTCTGTCTGTCCGAAGAGCTGAAAGCCTTTCTGTCTGTCCAAAAAGCTGAAAGCCTTTCTGTCTGTCCGAAAAGTTGAAATCCTTTCTGTCTGTCCGAAAAGTTAAAAGCCTTTCCGTCTGTCCTAAAAGTTGAAATTGTTTCCCTCTGTCCGAAAAGTTGAAATTTTTTCTGTCTGTCCGAAAAGTTTAAATTTTTTCTGTCTGTCCGAAAAGTTGAAATTGTTTCTGTCTGTCCGAAAAGTTGAAAGCCTTTCCGTCTGTCCGAAAAGTTGAAATTTTTTCTGTCTGTCCGAAAAGTTGAAATTTTTTCTGTCTGTCCGTCCCTCCGTTCGTCCGTCCGTCCGTCCATCCGTCTGTCTGTCTGTCTGTCTGTCTGTCTGTCTGTCTGTCTGTCTGTCTGTCTGTCTGTCTGTCTGTCTGTCTGTCTGTCTGTCTGTCTGTCTGTCTGTCTGTCTGTCTGTCTGTCCGTCCGTCCGTCCGTCCGTCCGTCCGTCCGTCCGTCCGTCCGTCTGTCTGTCTGTCTGTCTGTCTGTCTGTCTGTCTGTCTGTCTGTCTGTCTGTCTGTCTGTCTGTGTATGTCTGTCTGTGTGTGTCTGTCTGTGTGTGTCTGCATTTGTTTTTATGGGTGTGTCTGTGTGTGTATATCTGTATGATTGTATGTTTGTATGTGTGTGGATTTTTGCGTGTCTGTGTGGGTATTTAGGTATATATGTGGGTGAATGGGTGTGTTAATGTGTGTGTGTGAAGGTATGTGGGTGTGTTTAAGTGAGTGGGTGGGTGGGTGTGTGTGTGTGTGTGTGTGTGTGTGTGCATGCATTTTACCACCCATGCTTTTGTGCTTTCTTTTTTTTTTTTCTCTCTTTTTTTGATATTCTTAATATGCATTTTATCATATGAATGTAACATGCTTTATTATAAAATACAGCTGCAGTGTGAAAGACGGGTGTCAGAAAGGACCGAATGTAAGACGGGCCTGCGTGCTCAATTTGTGACCCTTTAAAAATAAAGTTCGTTCGTTCGTTCGTTCGTTTGTTCGTTCGTTCTGTCTGTCTATCTGAAGAGTTGAAACTCTATCTTTCTGTACGAAGAGTTGGAAATCTTTCTGTCTGACTGTCTGTCTGAAGAGTTAAAAGTCTTTCTATCTGAAAAGCTAAAACTGTTTCTGAACCTGACCCCTTCCCGTATGAATACGGGAGCACTTTTATCTCTCTAATCAACGTTCGTTTTAGGGTTTTTGTTGGACGTTCTCTCCTCCCTAATCCATTTATTTTCATGATGTGTCGAATATAGCGCCATCGTCTCTGTCTTGTAACTGTTGATGCTAGTGAGTTTCCCAGACATTTAATTTATTTCTTCACCAATTCTAATTTCATGTCATTCTGTTTTCAACATTTGGAGAGGGGAAAGGAGAGGGAGTCTGAACAAAATGTCCCCACACAAATCATGCCGTAATGACAGCTAAGTAACTGTTTGAGGAATTCAGATGTTTTTGGGCGCTTGAGGTGGAGATATTGTATCTTCTTCTTCGCGTTCCCCAGCTGTAAACTCTGGCAGAAAGTTCTGGTTGTTTGTCCACCACTGAACTTAAGTCTCATTCCTGAGCCTGAGTGTTGCATGCACATCCGTTTAACAGAACTGACTTAATTGTACGCAGATTGTTAGTTCCTTGCCTCTCAGGTGGATGCACTCCCAATTAGTCGACGCATACGACGTGCTTGTTGGTGCCGCAGTGGGTCTATATTTGTTTTCCCTATAATAGGGCCCCGTAACTCACACGGAGAGATATAATAATACATTGACCTACTCCGGCCAGCAAGAATCAGCTGTGGTCACTAAGTCCTGGTCATGCTCGTGGCTTGGGCCGGAGTCCGGGAATGGTCTGTGACGCACCAGCCTCGATGTGTAGTGGTTGACGCCCAGAAAGTCAGCAGAACCTGTAGGGTCATCATTTGTATGGTTATCTGTATGTTAAAAGAAATTTGCCAGCTCCGAAAACAATGAAGAGTATCAAGACCTTTCCAACATCTTTTACGTTAGATCTTTTCTCCAGGTCATGCCGGCGTGGTGGGTAATGAACAGGCTGACAGATTGGTTGGATCTGCACCACTGGGTGGTGAATTGATGCATGACAGGGCAGATGTGGTCAAGGCTCTTCGGAAACAAGCAACAGAATCAGTAGAGAAAAAAAAATTGTTATGACCTGGAGAGAATGAGGCACCTATGTGTAACCAGAGGGTCTGGCCGGCTCATTGCACTCAGAGGAAAGGCAAGACGGATATATAAGCAGATTGTGACCGGTACCATCAGTATTGGAACTGTGCCCTGGCTACTGAGGATGAGGACGGAGCATGCATGGGAATGCCCCGAGTGCTGTGATGTCAATTCTTGACTCAACTCAACTCAACTTTCGACATCTTTTCATACACGAGAGCCGACTTCAATTTAAACAATGACGAAATCTACCCCCAGACGTCAGAGTGGCGCGTGTCAGCTGTCACATGTACAGTTTATTTTCCCAGGTGGATGTTTCCTTGATTCTTTTTCTTCTGCCATTCTAACCGCCAGTGGAGCATAGGCCCTCAACCAACTCACGCCTAGTTGTTATATCCTTCGCTGTCACATGCAGCTCTTCCTATGTCCTCCTCATCTTGTTAGCTTCCCTCTCAAGCTCCCTTCTCTGTGTGTTTTTTTCCTGTATTTCTGTGCCTTTGGGTTCCAGTACAAAGACATACTAGTTATATTATCCTCAAGTTTTCTCAGCGTGTGTCCTATCCAACGCCAGCGTCTTTTCTTCACCTCTTGGTCCACTGAAAGGTGTTTAGTTCTCTCCCAAAGCCTTACATTAGTGGTTCTATCACACTAATATATTTCCTCTATTCTGCGCAGGCACCACTTAGTGAATGTTTGTAGTTTATTAATAATTTCCTCAGTTGTTCTCCATTCTAAACAACATTACCGTATTTACGATTTAGTTTAAGTTTGTTTAAGTCTATTAATAGTTGTAATTTCTTTTGACCTCCACAAATTTCCTCGTGCTGTTGTGATTTTGCTAAGCAAATTTTGCATTTAGTAGTTTGCCATAGCTTACTAAACGGTCAGCTCTCGGCACCACTGTCGAAACCAACGCAAGACAAATCATCCGCAGCTGGGATCGAACCCGGCACCACGGCATTACAAAGATAGTCTGCAATCCCTAAGCTGCAGATGCATACTGACTTAAGGATACCTAGTCAGTGAAACAGCTAGGGTGAAAACCTCGATATGACTGGTTGGTTGAATCAAGAAACGAAATCACATCAGTCGGGACATTACCACAAGAGCTCGGTCCGCATCTTAAGCAGCCAGTGCAAAGTTCCGATACCCATGGTGCCAGAAGCATTCTGATTATACGTCTGTCATACCTTTCATCTGAGCGCACCCCCCGCCGCCCCGCCCCCCCCCCCCCCGCCGCCCCCCCCCCCCATCGTCACTTAACTCCTGCACCAGACTGTGGTGATCCATTGGCTCCTCTGAATCGTACTCGATATTATAGGTCGTTTAGACTCTGATTTTATATGTGTTTGTGTGAGTGTGTGTGTGTAAACGCGCGCGAGCACGCACGCATAATCACTACTTGCTAAACGGTATGGATGTAATGATCAAACTTACATCTTTTAAAAACTCTTCAACAATAGAGCTGACGATGCTACTGCTGTTTATAAGTCCTTTTAAACGCACGCAACCCTGATGGCTCCAAAAGCTTAATTAGGTAAAACCGGCCATATCTTTAGGCCACGAGAAATCCTTAATCAAGACCCAGCAGGCAAAGTCGCAGGTCGTAATCCATCTTGTCTGGTGAAGCAATCTAAATAATTTATCTACTACGTTTTAGTCGCCGTCTTGGGAAGCAACCTCCGCTACACCTTATCTTGACAGTAGCCTCCGCTTCACCCTATCTTGACAGTAGCCTCCACTTCACCCTATCTTGACAGTAGCCTCCACTTCACCCTATCTTGACAGTAGCCTCCACTACACCTTATCTTGACAGTAGCCTCCACTACACCTTATCTTGACAGTAGCCTCCACTACACCTTATCTTGACAGTAGCCTCCACTACACCTTATCTTGACAGTAGCCTCCACTACACCTTATCTTGACAGTAACCTCCACTACACCTTATCTTGACAGTAGCTTCCACTGCACCTTATCTTGACAGTAGCCTCCACTACACCTTATCTTGACAGTAGCCTCCACTACACCTTATCTTGATAGTTGCCTTCACTACACCTTATCTTGACAGTAGCCTCCACTACACCTTATCTTGACAGTAGCCTCAACTACACATTATCTTGATAGTAGCCTCCACTACACATTATCTTGACAGTAGCCTTCACTACACCTTATCTTGACAGTAGCCTCCACTACACCTTATCTTGACAGTAGCCTCCACTACACCTTATCTTGACAGTAGCCTCCACTACACATTATCTTGACAGTAGCCTCCACTACACCTTATCTTGACAGTAGCCTCCACTACACCTTATCTTGACAGTAGCCTCCACTACACCTTATCTTGACAGTAGCCTCCACTACACCTTATCTTGACAGTAGCCTCCACTACACCTTATCTTGACAGTAGCCTCCACTTCACCTTATCTTGACAGTAGCCTCCACTTCACCCTATCTTGACAGTAGCCTCCACTACACCTTATCTTGACAGTAGCCTCCACTACACCTTATCTTGACAGTAGCCTCCACTTCACCCTATCTTGACAGTAGCCTCCACTACACCTTATCTTGACAGTAGCCTCCACTACACCTTATCTTGACAGTAGCCTCCACTTCACCCTATCTTGACAGTAGCCTCCACTACACCTTATCTTGACAGTAGCCTCCACTTCACCTTATATTGACAGTAGCCTCCACTTCACTTTATCTTGACAGTAACCTCCACTACACCTTATATTGACAGTAGCCTCCACTTCACCTTATCTTAACAGTAGCCTCCGCTACACCTTGTCTTGACAGTAGCCTTCGCTTCACCCTATCTTGACATTAGACTCCACTACACCCTATCTTGACAGTAGCCTCCGAGTCATCTTATCTTGACAGCAACCTCCGCGTTACCTTATCTTGACAGCAGGCTTTGAGTCACCTTATCTTGACAGCAGGCTCCGAGTCACCTTATCTTGACATCAGCCTCCGAATCACCTTATCTTGACAGCAGGCTCTGGAGTCACCTTATCTTGACAGCAGCCTCCGAGTCACCTTATCTTGACAGCAGGCTCTGAGTCACCTTATCTTGATGGCGCAACCTCCGCTTCACCTTATCTTGACACTAGTCTCTGAGTCACCTTATCTTGTCAGCAGGCTCTGAGTCACCTTATCTTGATGGTGCAACCTCCGCTTCACCTTATCTTGACACTAGTCTCTGAGTCACCTTATCTTGACACTAGTCTCTGAGTCACCTTATCTTGTCAGCAGGCTCTGAGTCACCTTAACTTGATGGAGCAACCTCCGCTTCACCTTGTCTTTTTTTTTTTTTTTGCTTCATAAACGGTCATGATGGTACTACCAGACTTTTACAGCAAGAAAACAAAAGTGATAGTTTATCGTGAAGGATTGTACAGCAAGAAGATCACATTTGACGATTCATTAATAAAGCATTCGCAACAAGAATACAGAAGTAAAGGTTTACTTTTGTATTCACCAGAAAAAGACACATATTTTCTTTATCACAGTTAAGTTTGCACATCAATATTACACGCTTATTGGTTTACCGTTAAATATTTCATATGAAGACACAAGTAACAGTTACTCTTTAATTGTTTTGTTGCAAGAAGACAGAAGTAAAGGTTTACAATTTTTAAGATTCTGCAGCATGAAGACACTAGTGATGGTTAGCCTTTTGAAAGTTCTTACAGAAAGAAGATACAAGTGATGGTTAAATACTTTACAAGAGGGTTAAGGTTTGAAAAACGGATCAACCTCATGGCACACGGGTAGTAACCCATAAGTGCTCCGTTTTTCTTCTAACTCAAGTCTGAGTCCGACGAATCTCAGCACAGTGCACAAGCTCTTTGGCACCAGAGAGGATCCTAAAATACTTTAGGTAGATTTTTAACTCCAAATTTTTCCCGGGCAGTGCCGTTATGCTACTCTTTTCGATTTCCAACTGCCAATGGCTACTGTCAAGATAAGGTGTAGTGGAGGCTACTGGCCAAGATGGCGGCGTAAACAACGTTCGCCGAAAATTGTGACTAAAAGATATGTTTATTCCTGGAAAGAATGTTAAATGTGTTAGAGTAGTGTAGTTGTTCAGTTGAAGATGAATTCGCGACAGGCCCGGCAAGTCGGCGGAGGATTCAGCGGTTCAAAAAGAAATGCCCAAGATGAAAATAGGAGATGTTTTAGAAATAGGGAAAATAGAGGCCAGCAGAAGGTTAAGACCAGGGTAGGGACAATCAATATATGTGGATGGGGCAATAAAGAAGAACAAGTGATCGAATTAATGGAGAAATATAATGTTAAAGTATTAGGCTTATCAGAAGTGAGAATGAAAGGACGAGGAATGAAGAAACTACATAAAAAATTACGTTTTGATACAATCGGGAGTAGAGGAAATGCAACGTGCGAAGCATGGAGTGGGATTTGTCATCGATCCCGAAACTGCAAAAAATATACTTGAAGTTAACTACATCTCGGAAAGAATTATAAGTTTGAAATTACAAGTAGGAAATAGTTCGGAGGTGTTTTTTCAGATATATGCTCCGTGCAATGGAAATTACAGTGAAGAGGATTTAGATTATTTCTTTGAGAACCTGGATGATGAAATTTGTAAGATAGATAATAACGAGAAACTGATCGTGATGGGTGATTTTAACGGTAAGACAGGACGAGACAGAAGAACATTCACAAGATACCTAGGCAATTATGGAGACAACAGCATTAGAAATGAAAATGGCGAAAGACTGTTGGATATATGTACACAACATGACCTTGTTATTACCAACACCTTTTTTCAACATAGAGCTTCACAAGTTTTTACATGGTATAAATGGAATGATCCAGATACCAAGAGTCAGATTGATTACATCTTGACGAGAAAAAAGAGACTTTCATCAAGTTACAGATGCGAGAGTTATACCAAACTTGAGTTTAGATACAGATCATAGGATGGTGATCCTTGACAGAAAAATCAAGATAAGTTATCAAACCAAAAAGAAATGTAATAAAAGTGACATAATAAAATGGAAAGAACTAGAGTGTGAAGAAAACAGGCGAGCGTTTCAGCAAAAAATTACAGGAAAATTATGAACAGCTTCCACAAAAACACTCTTGGGGTAAATACAGAATGGTTGAATTTCAGAGACAACCACTATGAAAATAGCACAAGAAATATGTGGAACTAAAAGGAAAGGTAACATAGGGCGCGTGAGCTCTCAATATGGTGGTCTGAAGAAATAAGAAGTATTGTGAGCAGTAAAAAGAAAGCTATGGCATTTGGTTGAGGAGCAGAAAACAGAAGAGGATTACATAACATACAGGAAAATTAGAAGAGAAGTAAATAGAACTATCAGAAAAGCAAAAAGAGATTCATGGGAAAAGTTTGGAAGCAAGCTGGCTGAAGAAGAAAGATCAGCAGTGAAAAACTACTACAAAAAAATCAAAGGCATGAGAAACAGGAATGAAGAATACAACCCAACAGAAATTATAAATGATGAAGTTGGCCAACCTTTAATAGAACCTACTAAAATCTTAGCAAGGTGGGAGTAATTACTTTGAAGCATTACTTAGCTGCAATAAAACAGATAAAAGCAGGGAAGAACATAAAAACAACTCGGAACTAACAGCAGAGGAACTAGAACCAGGTATATTATTGGATGAGGTTAAATATGCCATTCGAACCGCGCCTAGACTAAAGGCGACTGGTATTGATGATCTACCAGCTGAGGCCATCAAGGCAGCAGGAGAAAACGGGAGCAATATGGTTAAAGAGAATATTTCAGGTGGCATGGGAAAATCAAGAAACACCATCAGATTGGCAAACTGCTGTCATTGTCCCGCTGTGGAAAAATAAGGAAGTAAGAGGGAATGTACTAATTACAGAGGAATATCACTTCTCAGTCACACTGGGAAAATGTATGCTAAGATCATCGAAAAAAAGGCTAAGACCATTGATAGAGTATCAACTTTCAGAAGCATAGATGGGCTTTCGATAAAACAGAAGTTGCACAGATGCCATTTGTACATTGAGACAACTATCAGAGAAGGCAATAGAACACGATAAGACATAATTGTTGACATTCATAGACCAGGAAAAACTCCTTCGATAGAGTCGACAGGAATATGTTGTGGGAATGTATAGGGGAAAAAGGGATTCAGCAATCATCTCATTCATATTTGCAAAAGCCTGTACACACGTAGTAAATGCTGCATAAGATCAAAGGCAGGGTTGTCTAGAACTTTTATAGTGAAACTCTGGTGTGCGTCAGGGCTGTGTACTATCGCCGCTTCTTTTCATAACATACATGGACGCCATAATGTAGCGAAACAGACTTTAATCAGAAAGAAGATATAACAGAATTACTTTTCGCCGAACGACCAGGTACTCATAGCAGAAAATATGGAACGCCCACAGAACCACCTAAATCAAATTAGTAACAAGGGGGAGGAATATAATATGAAAATAAACACTACGAAAGACAGAGACAATGATGATAGGAAGACATAAAGACAATTTAGAAATTAAATTAAAAAACAACACCCTGAGACAAACAGAGGAATTTAAGTATTTGGGAGCAATTTTTACTTCAGACGGAAAACTGGACAGAGAAAATTAGCTCCAGATGTGCCAAAGCTAATCAAGTAATGGGCCAACTATCTCCCCTGTTGTGACACACAAGCAGATACCTCAGAGTACTAAAGTGAATCTTATCAGAACTATTTTTTGGCCAATACTATGCTATCAGTGCCAAACGTGGACACTTACATCCTCCAATGAACGTAAAATTGTGACAACAGAGATGAAATGCCTTAGAAGAGCTGCAGGAGTTTCAAGGAAAGACAGAATACAAAATCATGAAATCAGACGAATGCTAGGTATAAAGCCAGTCTTACAGGTCATCAAAGAACAACAAATGAAATGGTTTGGGGACCACCTAACAAGAATGCCCTGGTACTATCTGCCACAGCGAGCCACACTAAAACGTTACAACGGGTATAAAAAAAGCGAGTGGAAGAGACTCTTCGGAAAAAGATGGAGTGATGGCCATAAGAACAGCCTTACAGAAAGTGACACATCAGTCTTAAATAGCGCTGGCTTGAAGAGCTCATCCAACGAAACATTACATCTCCCCCCGACACTTCGATGAGGAGTACAAGGTGGAACACCAAGAAGAGGAAAGAAAGGGCAGAAGAAGAAGAATGGATTTTTAACGTGCGCAACAATGCACACGGGCTTCCGACCTTACTATCCAGAGACCAGGGGGAATTACTAGAAGTCCAAGTCCACGTGAAAAAAAAAAAATACCAGCTCTTACCGGGGATTGAAACCCGAAACCTCTATTACTCAAGACGGACACCATGCACTGTAACAACGCAGCCCCCCTCCCCCTTCCCCAGTAAGAAGATTCAAGGAATTATTTACCGTTGATTAGCCTTTTCTCCGTCTCCGTAAACTCTGGTAGTCTGCTCTTAGTTAACCCTTGACGCCTGCTCTTGTCCCCAATGAACTCTTTCATCACTTGTGGGTAGTCGCCACTTCCAGAAAATATGGGGTTGGCAAACCTGGAAAAAAAAAGATTTGCCGGGAAAACTTCGATTAACCGTCACTCATTTAACTGTCAGTTTCTGTTATTTGTCATCTTCTTAAAAATGCGTGAGTGTTAAAAAAAAAAAAACTTAAATATACAGAAGGACATGGCATATTATTTTGAATAACGTCGGTTTATAGTATTTCAATACATTTATGTGCATTTATCATCATCATCATCATCATCATAAACCACTTCTTCCGTTAAGCGGCGTGGGGAGGTCTTAACTTGTGATCCAGTGCACGGTGGCTGCCACTGGCTATTTTCATGCTGTGAAGGTGTAGAGTGTCTTTAATTTTGTCGATCTATATTTTCCGCGGTCGTCCTCTTGATATTGAAGCTGATGAGATATAGTGCTTATTATAGTATTAGATGTTACTGCATTACTACTCTTATAATGAAGTTTATATTGATTGTTTTGAAAAATTAATTCAGTGATTGTACCTGGTAGCCACTCAAGGTTGGGTACACAGAGAGCTAAGATCATTTTTCAAAAACTAGTCCAGCTCCGTCTGGACCCGAATCCACGACCTTCCAATCTTTATGCCAGCGTCTACCTGTTACTACATCACGAAGGCTCCGCAAAGGAAAATAGGATACGTGAAATAACCTACGATGCTAAATGCTAAATACGCAATGGCCTGAAAGGGGGTCTTTCGCTGTTTTTCTTTGCTGTAAAATAACCTACCATCCCAAACTAAACTCCATTGCTCGGTCAGCAGCTTCCACATCGTGCGGTGAATCAGTGAATGGCTCCATCCACTCAGCGTACAAGTTGATGCCGACCACACCTATACAAACGAAGAAACATTTTATTCTTAGATAGTTATTGTCTCTATCGTCCGTTTCGGGATGAAATTTTTTATTTGAAGCTCCACCCTGGCTTTTGCCGGGGGCCGCAATATAGGCAGGCCATAAATATGGCCTAATGTCTGAACGCGGTTTCTGGGACCTCTCCACGGCGATCCTCATCCGCATGGTGGCACTTTGTGTCATTGGGTGTTTATCGCTTGTGTGATGTCCTAGTGGGGTAGAAAGTCAGTCAGTCAGTTATTCTTAGATTAAATATCGCATCCAGTCATCACCTTGTGGGATGCAATTTTTTTGTTTATTTGAAGCCCCAGCCTGGCTCTTGCCAAGGGCCGCAATATAGCCCGGCTATAAATATGGTCTAATGGCTAAACCCGGTTTTCAGGACCTCTCCACAGGTGATCCCCATCCGCATGGTGGCACTTTGTGTCATCGGGTGTTTAATTATCCTAGTGGGGTAAAATCTACTACTACTACATTTTTTAGAGGTTTATTAGTTAGGCACACAGGCCCAGCCTTCATCTGGCCCTCCCAAATACTCATCTTTGACAAAGGATTAAAGTGTGGCTGGTAATTCATGGAAGTCGCCGTGGCGTAGCGGCTAGACGCTCGCGTGTGGATCGGAAGGTCGTGGGTTCGCACCCTGGAGGAGCAGGACTTTTTTTAAAAATGACCTTGACTCCCAGGTCGACCCAGCCTTGAGTGGGTACTGGGTGCAGTCCAGGGAAGTAAAGGCGTAAAAGCGTAGAAGAGGGACCGTTACTTTACTTACTATTAAATCCAAGAGAATCGACTTTACGGCTCGCCGTCACTGAAAGTTTTGCACAAAGCTGAACTCCACAACTGCATAATTGGGTGCCGACAAAACAGTCAAGATAGTTATCTGCAGGGGGATGGTAGGGGGCCAAGGGGACCTAAGCCTTGTTGAGGTGATTAATAATAAAACAAATTTTTTTTGCGAAATGGCAATGTATATATAAAGTAAAGGAGCCTTTCCACTGCTTAAGGCGTATTGGGCATATAGGGCTAGACCTATATTTTATAGACCAATCGGCACTTGGTACCGCCCGCCTTTACTTCTCAGGACTCCACCTGGTACCCATTCAAGGCTGGGTCAACGTGAGAGCCAAGGTCACGGCAGAAAGTCCGGTTCCGTCAAGACCCGAACCCACGATCTTCCAATCCACAGGCGAGCGGTTAGCCGCTACACCACGGCCAAATTTTGTGCTCATCATTTTCGTATAGTTTAGGAAACAATACTTTATTTTTAATGCACCCAATACTAAGGAAACCATGAGTTCCCGGGAAATCACAATTTTCTAGGGGTATAATAGGTTGGGATTAGGGTTAGGATAAGGATCTTTGTCAGCCTTGACCGTCTTAGAGACTCTAACCCTATCCCCTAATCCTAACCCATACCAGCTCTAGAATATTGGACTTATCGGAAACTCCAGGATTTCCTTTCTTTGGGGTACATAAAAAATAAAGTACCAGGGGAATTGAAGATAACTAACCTTTCTGACTGCTCTGAAAAACTGCCTT